ATAACCATGGGTACCAAAGCGCTTGGATGCTTATCTTACTGTTTCTGTCAGCAATTTGAGTAAAAAAAAAGGGCCACATTGGTTACATTTGACTTTGGTCTTTCTCAAAAGTAAAAAAAAGAAAATCCAATACTGCAGTAGGGAAGAACAACGCCGACTCGACAGTGTTTTGTTACCTTGGGGGCAGATTTAGGAATTTGTCAGCAATAGGTGGCAAAGTTTGCAGTTAATTAATATTTATCTGTATGTGAAAGTTTGTTTTTCGCACGTAATATATCTGGGCACATTTGAATAGGTTGTCAAAACAGGGGAAGCAGCCTTGCTGAAAAAAAGTGATTGTTTCCATAAACAGGTTTAAATATCTCGTAAAATACGATGTCATTTTTGAAAGATGTTACAGCACTCGTGACTTCTTTGTTGAATGTATTACTACCATGATTAGACGAGACGTAAATAAACCATAAAACAAATACATTTGTACATACACAAACTTTCGTAGATGCCAAGTGCAAGTTTTATGCAAGAAACTTTCATGCTCGTAAAGACCAATGATTATATTGTGCAAGCATAAATAATGTGATAATAATTCACAAGCCCTTTGTCAATCCACTGCGAGATGAACCATTTCCATGCTGTGTGGGCTTATGGAGATCGTTTGACCATACTTCGCTACGCTGGTGAAAGTGGGTCGGCGAAGTTGGGTGGGCCCGGGACTGGTTCAGATATCACTCGTCACCGACTTTAGCCCGTGGCAACGAATCGATCTCAGATTGCTGGATTCATATCGCAGTGCGATTTAATCTAAAAAAAAAAACAACTAGGAAAAATTCCACACTGTAAATTAATCTTAACATTAAAAACAAAAGTGGTGTCTTGCTCAAATAAGCATGGCGGCAATGCCCATCTCCTGAGTAAGCCCCGAGCCAGTGGTGGAAATTCCACATTCCCATGGTACGGGATGAGTGTTTCCATAACACAACTGCGAACGGAATTCCAGACAAAGTGACACTCGATTTATTGGCCACGTAGGAATATTTGGCCGAGTAAACACTCGACTCGGATTTGAGCCTCCCACTCTCGGGATTGCAGGCCGCGCTGTCTACCGCAGCATCACCCCAGGCAGCGTTATGTCTTCACAGTATAATATATATAAAAAACGATTAAATATGAAAGTCATTTGTGAAAGTGTGTTGATGTAAATAAGTAATTGGTGGTGACTTTTGTGCTGACGCTAAGTTGCTAAGTAAAATATAGTGAGGGCTGGGAAGAAAGATGTATTGAGGTAAGAAACGAGAGGATATGAACGGTTCCCTGAAGACGTACAGCCGGGAAACTGTTCCAGTAGCAGCACAGGAAACAAAACGGTGACGTGCTTTATTAACTATGCAAGAATACAGTACAAGGGATCAGTGAGCACCTCGAGGTGACTTACGTAACACGAACATTTTACGGAAGGCTGGATGGATATGCCTCGGAGCGAAGTTTTCATGTTAAAGAACAAATGTAAAAAAAAATCTGTATAAATTTGCGCGAAAATATGACTACAAATGCCAGTGTGGAACAAATGAAAAATGTACAATGACTGTAGCAGAGAAACAGTTGCCATGGCAATTCCCACGAGGCTTCATTATCGCTCTTTCACAGGACCAAAAAAACTATAATTTTCAGTACCTTGGGACCATATAATTACAAAAAATTTAATAGAAAGCAAAAGGTTGAATTTTATTCATAAATGAGAACTGACGTCGACACGGCAACAAATATGAATATCCAGAATACGTTGTTGCAGTAAAAAAAACATTAGGAATCTAAAAGCAAGTGTTATGTATTTCACATTAAAAAAGTTACCAATTTACTGTAGAATTTTTGAATTTTTTCACATATTTCCCCGTTATTATTGACTATATTTTCGATCCAAATAAAATATATCTTGGTGTGGTGGCATACACACCCAGTAGTATAGTGACTTCGAAGTGGGGTTGGTGGATCGTGCAGAGATGGAGCTTGTGACTCATCACCTGACTCTGTATTATAATGAGGAAAACAGTCTACCACCTAGGTTTGTAAAAATGCATCGCTTCGTTTTCAAGAACGGCCTACAATTCCCTCCGGCGAGCAGAAAAATAGTGCCAGCCATCCCAAAAAGCAAGACCCTCCTAAATCTCAGAAGGAGAGTTTTGGGCCGAAGCCGATGACGACGACGATGATGATCATACGTTTGACGTTGAAATCATATGCGGTGCAATTCCACCGTCGAGTGCCGTGGGCATGCCGCGACGCGATGACGATGCCTGTTTATTCAAAGAGGCGCGATTTGCGAGTGATGTGCGTTCGTGCCCACCCACTCGACGTTTTTGTATTCTCATTTATACCCTCTGCCGCTCGTCTGCCAGCTGTCAAGAGCTTTATAAATATGCTATAATGGTCGTCGATGGAAAGCACGAATGCAACACCACACGAGAGGCCCCATTACACATGTAGAGCATTACATGCAGCGTCTGTGAGCCTTGGTGCAGATGTTTAAAAATAATAATTTAATTGTGGCTAACTGTTAAGGGGGGGAGGGGCTGAGTGGGGATATGGGTGGGTGCGCAGGAGGGGGGGGGGGGCTCTGGAAGCAGCTCAGAGCTATTAAATAAAATTAACGCTGACCAAGCGGTGATCCGCTACAAGTTGGTGATGCATTTTATTTTAATTAACTTGGCTGAGCGTGCCATCGTCATGGCAACTAATCACTGGGCAATGTGCGAGCTGTCAACCTGGGAAAGCCACGACATCAGTTCCGTTTAGCGTACAATTCATATTTAACAGGTCGGGTGTAGAGAAAAGTGACCACATTATGCAATTAAATATATAAGAGCAAAGTAATTGAAAAGCACACGGTATAAAAATTATTCCTTCCCTTATTACAGACGGACGTTTAAAGCCCATTGAGCAATTTCTGATTAGTCCCTGTGTGTCCGACGCTGAACGTTAGCCGTGTAACAATTAAATATGCCACGAATTCTATGAATGTTCACGATTCAGCGTCACGATTGAATACAATTTTTTAAAAAAATAGATTCTAACACAGCAGCAATTACATCAGAAGCCTGACTGCCGATGGGCCTCGGAATGTCGGAGCCGATCCAGAGTTTGCTTTGCAGACACAATTGCTGCTGGATGACATTGGTCTGTAAAGCCAACAGACCGATGGACTCCAAAACAGTTTTGTTTATTAATATTTACAGCTGGAGACGGCACTGAGTTTGGCTCATATGAAAATTTTCGTCAAATTATTACTGTCTCGTTTGTATGGTTCCACGTTTGTTTGTGTTTTTTTTAATCTCTCGCGTGCACAGCTTTATTCCATTAGCTTAAATGTAACAGAATACCATTTGCATAAAGCGTAGATGATCCTCACGCACACGTGTGCGACCAGATGCATGTATCATGAGCACAACAATACAAGGGACGTTTGATTCAGTTTACCGGTTAATTTCAGAGTAATTGCTGCTAAGAAGTTGCCAATGCTTGGTCTTGACTGTCATGCTGGTGCATGTGTTATTATGATACATTGACACGTGGGCAATGCAGCCTTTATACTTTTAACACTAATAAAAAAACACACATCCATCAATACCTTACAAGAAAAAAAATATATAAAACCCGTGACGTTTTGGGCAATAGCCCTACTTCATAACACATCGACATGTAAAATTGATGGCCTAACTGCAAGACGCGATATTATAGTGGTGTGCGCACTGCGCCGCGATTCTTACATCTTGGGTTCAATTACTGGTCATGCAAAGCCATTGGCTCTTGATAAACCAGTCTGGTCAGTCCCCCCCCCCCCCCCGCTAGGTCAACCTAAACTTAAATTAGTACTCGGTACGGTATGTCAGCATCAGCAATGGGGAGACAATGATGGACAGGCCTTGCTGGGTACATCGCCTCCTTGTGCAGTCTGGTGTTTGCTGATAGGTTATTGTCCTTACGGTAAATGGGCTTTTGTCCTTGCGTTCGTTAGTGTGTGTTTGTGTGCACTTGTGCGAGTTTGTGTGAAGTGGTTAGCACACTACGCTACGAAACCCTGCGATCCGAGTTCGATTTCCCGCTTTTTGTCAACATCTGAGGTCTGGGCTTCCTGAGGTCAACTCAGTCTTAAATAAGTTCCTGGTGCAGTTTATAAACACTAAGGAGACAAAGGCGGCCTGTCGTCATCCCGGCCACAACACCCACATCCAATGTCGGCCTTCATATTTGCTGGCTAACAGCACTTGCCCCAACAGTCTGTAAGCTACATGGGGGATCTTTGTACTTGTGTGTGTGTAAATGATTATATACAAGTATGTGTGTATATTCTTGGTTCTTTCGGTAAAGTCACGTAGAAGGCAAGTAATAAAACAATAAAAATAAAACAATTAAATTCTCACGACGTTTCGATTGCAACACAAGCAATCATCATCAGGTGTGAAAAACCACAGCAAGAAAATGTTATTATTTTTATTATTTTATTATTATTTCCCTTCTATGTGACTTTACCGAAAGAACCCAGAATGTGAATCCCTGCAGTCGAAAGCTTTAAATCGAAAGTGTGTATGTGTCTATAAGCATGAACATATGAACAGAAATTGAGTGTGCACATCATGGACGTGATAATCTAGTTTTGATTCACGTACGTACGTGTGTGTGTGCAGTTGATGTAATGGGGTAGTATAGCGGTTCGCGCACTGCGCATAATAACCCAACAACCCGAGTTCGATTCCCGCTAATGACCACCAACAGAAGTGACGATTAGTCGAACCGGTCCTGGGCCTCCCCTAGGTCGACTCAGCCTCAAAATGAGTACCTGGTGTGGTGTTAAACATAGCCACGAGGGAGACAAAGGCGGCCGAGCGTGGTTCCGAACCAAGCACCACCCCTCGGCCTTCATAGGTGCTCGCTAACAGCACTTGCCCCAAAAGTCTGCTCAGGCTGTACGGGGGAATCTTTGCCTTTGTGATGCATAAACCACTCACGGTCATTGCAGAAGGCGCCCGTGTAGGAGGTCATGGTGCAGTCGCAGGTGAACTCCTCCCACTGCTGGACGCACAGGCCCTGGTTGGAGCATGAGTCATCCTGGCAGACGGTGCTGGGCCCTGCAGAAGGTGGGCACGGTGCGACGAATGGCAAACATTCTAATGTTATCACCGATTCGACGCCAAACTCTTTATTTCGCGATTGTGTTTTTTTTCTCTCTCTCTCACTTTTTTTGAACAAGTCGTACCACAGGATCGGTGAATTCGCAGCAATCTCCAACATGAGTTTGTAGTGTGGGAGGAAAATGTGTTTTTTTATCTATACACGTAATTTGTCCTGAATAAACTGGCAGAGAGAGGAAAAGAGTGGTTGTACCGCGTAGAATGTTGATGAGGAGGTTCAAATGCCGGGCCGTTTGCCTTCACGGTACAGCGGTTTGAGTGCAGTGTCGATCGTACGTATTGCTGTTGTTTTCGTTGTCATAGTCGTGTCCCGTTCCTGTTTTCTCAGAAGCCACGGTGAGACATCTCGTAGCCCAGATTGCAATGCAATCATCATAGGCGAGAGCCGCGATGTGCTGTGCCCTTGCGTCGACCATGTCCCCTGCCACCTGTGCATATGTGTATTGTCTCGGATTATTTTCAGCCAGAAGGATGAATTCATTGCGCCAAACAAAAAAGGGCCGTAAAGAGACTCTTTTTTTAAGCCTATAGGAAGGGGCATGAAAGCTCTGCGGTGTAAATCCTTCAGTGGCAATTTTTCGAGAGAATGGAATTTGTAAGTCTCGGGCTGAGCTTGAAAACAGTTTAGGTATTTTGTCAGCAAATGTTTTATTTTCCAGGGTACACAGACACGAGTTGTGTGTGTGTGGGGGGGGGGGGGGGGGGGGGGGTCCCACTTGGGCATTACGTTGTAGTTTGACCGATTCTATTTAAAAAAAAAAAACTTTTCCTACCCGACTGAGAGACGAGCAAGTTATCAAAAATGTGTCTCACGATATGCCAAAAGAAGTCAAAGTTTCCCAAAGCTGAAATGAGCACTGGCAGGTAAACACGTGCCCTGGTAGGCCTGAGCCGACGGTGGATTTTCCTTGTTATTAAGTCGAGGAAAAATTGGATGTAGGCCAGGTGGCTCTGGGGTCAGAGTGCTGAGCTGGCAACGCTGAGATGCTGGGATCAAATTCGAACGGTCATATATGATTCAAGCAAGGGTTGTAGTGAGTTTATGCTAGATTTTAAGTTTTCGTGACTGCAAGGATCCATATTCTTTGGTTCTTTCGGTAAAGTCATGAAAACAACTACATTTTTTATTTTTTACCTACGTGACTTTACCGAAAAGAACCAAAGAATATGTGTTTCATGCTCTCAACTAGCAAAGCAATAATTGTCTAAAAAATACACGACTTCATTACATTTAGCTTGCACTTAATTTGTCTAAATTCCAGCTCTGAGAATGAAAAATATCAGTTTGACTATCACGCAGCAAACAACACTCTGTAACAGGGTGGGTGGGAAAGTGCTTCCCTCTACTGTGTGGGATCAGGGATCACTTGAATACACCTCAGCGTTAGCTCTGTGATATTTGCTTCCCAGGCAGGCTGTTCTCGATCACAGAAAGTTTGCGCTGCTCTGCGCAGAATCCGAATGGATTCTTCGTCTTGTGACACGATTGCCAATGGCACGATAAGGATATAATTGCATAAAGGTCCTCCCCCTAAAGATCCCCCCCAAGTCTCCGTGGTAGAGGAACTTTCCCACCAAGTGGCATCCACTGGGTGGGGCGAGTTTAACACGGAGGCTTTTGCGACCAATAATATCCATAATAAAGTTTTGCCTTGGGTTAGATCGCGTAAATATAAATGTGTCGTTATTTAAGACCGAAACTGGGCGACATCTGCATAATTTTGTCAAATCGCCTGATTGAGCTGGTTGTAATTTACCAGCCGAAACGTCGTACTCGCATTGTAAATGTTTGTGGGTTTATTGTCCACCACACCGGTGTGCTGAAGCAGTAACTAAATTGGCACGTTTTGTTTACGTGGCAAACCTCACTGATTGGCTGTCTCGGGTGGTGGCGGATGTAACGGGGTGACCCTGGCTGCTTATATTCTACCTCTGGCCGGTGAGGCGGGTGTCCTGCTGCACTCCCATGACTCCCAGGCAAGTCCGGGCTGTGACGATGCCCAAGGAGCACCCACGTGGACGTATAGCCCTGTTTTTTTTGTCCGCCCAATGTTGGATGAGGACCTCATCATGCCGTGCGTGTCCCGGGGATTTGACCATACTTCAGCACCCACTGGACCGTGTGGGTTAGCCAAGGCAGTAAGCAGGGATGCGGGAGCGTGACTGTGGCAAGATGTTAACTATGTCGCCCAGTATACAGGAGGCCGTGGGTTCGATCCAAACCCTGACGCCTGCTGTATCTTTGGAGTTTGCATGTTCTCCCTGTCGTCGCGTGGATTTTTCTCCTGGCCCCCTCTGTATTTGCCCTCCACATTTTAGAATCAACATGCATTTATATTGTTTGGCTGCTATACATTTGCACACGATAAGCCACTTCGTTGAGCTATCATTTGTGGCCAGGTCGCTTTTGAAAATGAGCCGTATAGCTCAGTGGGCCTCACCTGGTGAAATAAAAAATAGTTTTGTTTAATTCGGAGAGCCGCGCGCTATGTTGGCAACTGTAGCCTCTGAACAATTCGCCCAGAATGGGGCCGATCTCGTCAAGATTCCAGAAGCTAAGTAGAATTGAGTCTCGGTATTGCTTGGATGGGTGACAATCATGCATAAAACAGGTGTTGTAGGCTGCTGTGGTGAAAAGTGTAACATCTGATTTTAATTGCTGTCATGCAGGAATTGTGCGGCAGTTATAACTCCCACCAAAACATGTTTCTTCCAGACTGAAGCTAATTAGCAATTTTTATTATATATATTATATATATCCAATAATGAAAAAACGTGATCTCTGATTACAGTGGAGCGACAACGGAATGGAACTTTTGTTAATTGTTTTAGGAAATGAGGGAGTCGGAAGTGTGCACGGAGAGTTCCCGAGCAAATGTAACATAGAATAATAAAATCCTACAATCCCGGCCGTGGGCGGGGGGGCAAAGCAGACATTGTAAGCAATGGTGTGTGGGCTGTGCGAGTGCGGTCCTTGTTTTGGGGTGCTCACCGTGGCGAGATGTTAACTACTTCGCCTGGTTTTCAGGAGGTCATGGGTTAAATTCCTACATTGATTCATGTACATTTGGAGTTTGCATGTTCTCCCCGTGGTCGTGAGGATTTTTCTCCGGGTCCCCCGGTTTTTTTCTCTCCACAATTTAGAAACGTGCGTTTAAGAGTATTTGTCTGCTGTAAATTTCCACGCGATAAGCCACTTCGTTGAGCTATCAATCTGTGATAACCAGGTCGCTTCTTAAAAATAGCTATATAGCTCAGTGGGCCTTACCTGCTAAAATAAAAAGTAGTTTTTAGTTTAGTTTGCCATCACAAGAACGGTTGCTTCCTCCACAACGTGTGAACTCCACACCTGTGTGGGTGGCCAGCAGATACACAGATTTATTTTTGCCCTGAAGGTGAACTCCGTTTCTGTGAAGACACCTCCCCAAGCTGCCTCTCCATTAGCGTGATGGCAACACTACCTGACCCTGGATTTTCAAGCATTGCCGCCACCCATCGAGCTACACGCGCCGCTAAGCACAGCCGCACGAGCTTTAAAAAGGCAGAGGTCGCGACCTCTCCTGATGTACAGGGCTGCAGGGAGGGGGGGGGGCGCCATTCTCCGTGAACCTGGCAGTTATGGGATGGAGGTCAGTCATGCGGCCAACCATTGATTTTGACCTGGAAAAACTTGTAATTTATTTTTTTCTGGACATCGCTGCATTTCCCCCACTCAATGGATGCTGCCAAAAATCGACTGCCTTTGTCCTGTCTCTGAGCTGAGGTTTTTTTTTAGTCGTCAAAATTTGTTCCCAGTTCTTCATCCGTTTCTAACAACAAAGCCAAAGTGTCATGCGAGATATGGCTGACATTCTCGTTGGTGACACGGGGGTTAAAGGTTAGTGAGAACATGCCATTATTTTGTGGTACAAAAATGATTAAGAAACGTATCGTAAAAATATATGTGCCTGTGATGAGGAGGCTCAGGCGTCATAGCACCGAGCCGAGACGACTTGAGATTTTTTAAATTCTGAATTTGGGCAGCCATCCGTGCATAAACCGGGTCCTCAATTGCAACGCATTTATGGTCTGAGCACAATCAACATGGATTGCATAAAACGCCCTTTTCATATTCAGTTTGTTTTTTTGCTTCATTTGGCTCATGCCAGCTTTGAGAGTAAAAATAAAACACATTGGGTGTGCTTGATATACAATGAACACTCTTTGCAGAGCATTCATATGTATGCCTCTACTGTGGATAAAGAGGCCCCATTGATAGTTACTTCAGAAGTAGTTATTTCACGTAATTTTTCAGGGCTGTTGTCTGACAACGCGTTGATACCTTTATATCTGCAAAGTTTCAAATTGACGCTTTGTCGAATAAACACGACTGCAATAGCACAACCGGGAATATAATTTGAAGAAAATAAAAGTATTTTATTTTTAAAAAATAGAGGTAACAAAAAACCATCAGCATTGGCTGCAGTCAGTGCAATTCTCCAAAACTAAGAATCAGATTATTTATACTGGAGGAATCCGATGAGCTATTAAGCTCTCTTTTAAAGATGTCCAGTCGGGGCTTGTAAGAACGTTACAACAACAACACGTGATAGTAGTGCAAAGTACAAGAAAGGTAAACAAAGCCCCCAAACACAAACAAATACAACACTAAACCATCCCCATCCTACCAGGTAAGGCCCACTGAGATATTAACTTAACTCCGTTTAAGTTTGGGGTGAAAACAAATGCATTTAATGGTGACATGCATCTCCTTCAGAGCGTTATTCACCTCGGAGTACGCTTGGCACAAACCTTGCAGCTCTCTTATACTGTTGCAACGTGCCTGTGAGTTCCCCCAGTAAAGTGTTAAAATTAGTACAAATTCCCTTCAAACGTGCCATGTACACGCTCGGGAAAACAAAACATCCCTTCAATGCCACACCGAAGTGAATTTCTCT